ACAACAGTGAGAGGCCCGCATAACGCAAGAAAAAAAAAAAAAAAAAAGAAACGAAATTGAGTTATTTGTAGTGAGGTGGATGGACCTAGAGCTTGTCATACAGAGTGAAGTAAGTCAGGAAGAGAAAAACAAATACCGTATGCTAACGCATATTATGGAATCTGAAAAAAAAAAAAAAAGGTTCTGAAGAACCGAGGGGCAAGATGGGAATAAAGAGGTAGACATAGAGAATGGCCTTGATGACATGGGGTGGGAGGGCGAAGCTGGGGCGAAGTGAGAGTTGCATCAACATATATACACTGTGGAATGTAAAATAGTTGGCTGGTGGGAAGCAGCAGCATAGTGCAGGGAGACTGGCTCGGTGCTTTGTGATGACCTAGAGGGTCAGATAGGGAGGATGGGAGAGAGGCTCAAGAGGGAGGGGATATGGGGACATGTGTATGCATATGGCTGATTCGCTTTGTTGTGCAACAGAAACTAACACGGTATTGTGAAGCAATTATACTCCATAAAAATCCATTTTTAAAAAAGTATTAAATAGCTTAGTTCATTTAGTGGAACCTCTGCTTGATTACTTTGATATTTCAAGAGACTGTTTGTACTTGGAAATAATCAGATAATACTTACTAGAAAATGTTGGTTAATATCCTTAAAAATCGTGATAATTATTATGAGAAAGTTCTGTGGGGTTTCAAAGGAAGGTAAACCTTCTGTGGTAGTTAATTGGAATGGTGTAATTTCATTTCGTAGGTGCTACTGAGATGGATTTTGAAGGAAGGTCAGAAACGTTACAAAACTAATGCATGCTTATTTAAAAATTCAAACATTATAGAAATGCGTAATTCCAACTCCCAGAGACAATCATTGTTAATAATACATGGTGATTCAAAATATTGATGAGTACAGAGTCTCAAAGTCCTGTGTTCTCTTGTCACAGAGAAACTTTGATTATCATCTCTAGCCCATTTGATTATCGTAGCATGGTGTCAGTTTTCTATTTAGAGGGAAGTTATCTTACTAGGCACTTACTTTATTCATATCTCTGTTTTTTATTCTGGTGGCTTAGTTGTAGATTGACTCTTCCTGAAGGTAGCCATTCAGGTGACAGTCTCTGTTTTGTGTTCCACTGTGTACCCAGTGCTTGGTACAGTATCTGGGACATGGTAGGTGCTGTTTCAGTATATGTTGATTGAAAAAATAAATAGTGTCATGAAGCTAAAATATACTTGTAGTATAAATTATTAAACAGATTGTAAAGATTTACTTATTAACAGAATATCCATTTCTTGATATTCTGAAGTTCAAAGATAATTTAAAAAATAGTGGACTCTAGGGACTTCCCTGGTGGTCCAGTGGTTAAGAACCCATGCTTCCAATTCAGGGGGCTCAGGTTCCATCCCTGGTCGGGGAACTAAGATCCCACGTGCCATGTGGAGCGGTCAAAAAAAAAAATAGTGGACTCTTTTTTTTTGTTACAAAATATAACTATCATGAGAAATTGTCTGAAAGATTATTTCCAGGTTAAATGTTATTTCTTTCAAAGTTGATGTATCTTTTGAGTTGCATTAATTTCACTATAATTGTTGTAACGTTGTTTCCTTTTTTTTTTTTTTTTTTTTTTGTGGGCCTCTCACTGTTGTGGCCTCTTCTGTTGCGGAACACAGGCTCCAGACACACAGGCTCAGCGGCCATGGCTCATGGGCCCAGCCGCTCCGCGGCATGTGGGATCCTCCCGGACCGGGGCACGAACCTGTGTCCCCTGCATCGGCAGGTGGACCCTCAACCACTGCACCACCAGGGAAGCCCCTGTTTTTACCTTTGAAATTTATATTTTTATATTTCCTCTGTGAGTTTCATATGAAAACTTATTTCAAATGCCAGTGAAATGGTTTTTAAGCCTCAAGCCAAGGCTCTACTTGTCCACTCACAGCTACACTAGGATCACATGGACTTCATAACAGTTATGGAATGGTCCTAAGATGGGACTAATTTTCATGGTAGGCAAGAGGCATTTTTCTGGTCTTTCTGTTCATCTGTTATTTTTCAGTACATGCCCTTGCATAGGTACACAGTACATAATGTGCTTGGTGGTAGAGAGGATAACACGCTCATTTGGTTAATAACATAACTTAGTCCAAAGAAAATCTGGAGACCTCCAACATACCTTTACTATAAAAGTTTGTGGAGGTGAGTAATACGCTGCTTCCCATCGCTTACATTGTTGATCTGTACTTTTTTCTAGGCATGGAGCTAAGTGCTTTACAGAATTATCTGATGGAGTCTTCACAACAGCTCACTTGTTATTATCCCTGTTTTATACAGGAGTAACTGAGGTCCAGAGAGATTCAGTCTCCTGTCCTGGGTTATGTAGTTTATAAATGGCAAAGCCTGGATTTAGATCCAAGCAGTCTGGTTCTGGAACCCTGTCTCTTAACAGCTGTGCTATAGTGAATGAAAGGTTCTCGGTAAGAAGTGTGGTTGAATCAGTTTTGAGCAAGTTGATGCTGGATTTGTGGAATAGGAGTGATTGTTTGGCAGTCCATTAGGGATGGAAACTGTAGCCAGGTTTCATTAGAATCAGGTACTGGGCTTCCCTGGTGGCGCAGTGGTTGAGAGTCCGCCTGCCGACGCAGGGGACACGGGTTCGTGTCCCGGTCCGGGAGGATCCCACATGCTGCGGAGCGGCTGGGCCCGTGAGCCATGGCCGCTGAGCCTGCATGTCCAGAGCCTGTGCTCCGCAACGGGAGAGGCCACAACAGTGAGAGGCCTACGTACCGCCAAAAAAAAAAAAAAGAATCAGGTACCAAGTAAGTGAACTGGTCCCTTTTTCCAAGTTTAGTATCAGTGTTTGTTTCAAATATTCAGGGATTTTAGACTTTAACCTCAATAGCTAATACCAAACTATAGCTTTCTCTCTTAGAGTTATGGGTTGCTAAAAATTGATCCTGACTGGGTGAGTATGTGGTGATAGATTCTTTAGGTCTTCTCATAGTGAAAGGCAGTTTAGGCTTTCAATTTCTAAAATCTAAGAAGTTTCTTTAGAAGTCATAATAAACAGCATCTTTGCTACCTTTTTTTTGTCACCTGACTCTGACCCCTGGTTAGCTTGTTTAGCTTGTGCCTGGAATGTCTGTTACTACTGGAACCCTCTAATCAAAGCATTAGAATGAAGTGGAGTGGATTCTTTCACGCCCATCCTTTTTTTTATTGGTTGCCCTGTGAGATTAAATCTGTAAATTACTCTGTATTTCAAATACAGTTGTTAAATTGTTTGGCATTCTCACTTATTGCTTAGATAACCAGTTTGGCATCCCCAGTGTAGTAGATGTCGATGTTGCTTGTTCTATAATTCTTCAATCTAAAATGTCCAGTAGGCTTTATAGGGATTGCTGCTTCTGCTAAACACCTTTTTCACTATGTGTGTTCCATTGCTTTCTCAGTTTGTTGATTTCTTTGCTAATTTTTTTTTCCTGTAGAAACATTGTGGGTTTTTTTTTGGTAATAATATAAGATTATTGTTCAAAATCCAGATAATACAGAGAAATACCTTTCTGTAATTCCTATGTAAGAGATAACCATTAGTATTAATAGTTTAGAGTATATTTCTTTCTGGCCATTTAATGTACAGTTACAAATCTTTTTTTTTTTTTTGCGGTACGAGGGCCTCTCACGGTTGTGGCCTCTCCCGTTGCGGAGCACAGGCTCTGGACGCGCAGGCTCAGCGGCCATGGCTCACGGGCCTAGCCGCTCTGTGGCATGTGGGATCCTCCCGGACCGGGGCACGAACCCGTGTCCCCTGCATCGGCAGGCGAACTCTCAACCACTGTGCCACCAGGGAAGCCCTACAGATCTTTTTTTCATGTAAATAGGATCATAGTATATTTACTGTTCTGTAATCTGCTTTATTCACTGTGGAAAGATTTTAATGTCAATATACAGAAAGATCTGCCTTATTTTGTGTTCTTTTATTTAACATAGTCCTAGTTGCTGGATGTAAGCTTGAGGTTTCAGTTAATGCTGTAGCAACATCCTGGGTCATATATCATTGTATATATCTCTATGTTGTTGAGATGAATTTCTAGAGTTGAATTTTAGGGTCAAAGGGACTTTTTTTTTTTTTTTTGCGGTACGAGGGCCTCTCACGGTTGTGGCCTCTCCCGTTGCGGAGCACAGGCTCCGGATGCGCAGGCTCAGCGGCTGTGGCTCACAGGCCTAGCTGCTCCGCGGCATGTGGGATCTGCCCGGACCGGGGCACGAACCCGTGTCCCCTGCATTGGCAGGCGGACTCTCAACCACTGCGCCACCAGGGAAGCCCAAAGGGACATTTTTTAAGGCCATTGAAAAATTATACTCTGATACCAGTATATACCCCGACTTCAGCTGTGTAAGAGAAGTTTCATTCTTTACCACCATTTATATATTAAGCATTTGCCAATCTGATAGGTGCAAAGTATCTTATTTTAGTTTTACTTCCTTGGATTTTTAGTGAGATTGTCCTTTGTCAATTTTTCTATAGAAAAATATAAGAAATTTTAAGTGAATTACATATAATTAATAATAAATATTAAATTATATATAACAAATTACATATATTCTAAGTTATATGTTTTGTCTTTGTAAGTCTTTTATTCTAAGTTATATGTTTGTCTTTTACATGTAAATCTCTAAAATGTCCTAGTATAGTGTAATTGGTTAAAGATTTTAGAAAATATTTTGAAAGCTAAAATAATATTAAGTAGTTTTCTATTGTTGATATTTTCATAAAAATATTTTTCTTATTCATCAAAAAATGAGGTTTTCATATAGTTAGGAATCTTAGAGTCTTCAGATATCTATGATAAACACATTTATATATTTACTTGTCAGATTTGACAACATGAGCTGCTGCAGTGTTTTCATTTTGATAGAATTTTGTTTAGAAAGTAATTTAAATCAAATGGGTAGGGAAAATCTTAACATTGTCTTACTGTTTTGTACTTCGTTTCATCTCCCTTTTCCAGGTATTGTACTCCGAGATACTTGGATTATGAAGATTTGGAGCGCAAGTACTGGAAGAACTTAACCTTCGTGGCACCTATCTATGGTGCAGACATTAATGGGAGCATATATGATGAGGTATATTTCTATTACAGTGGGTTTTGTAAAGCATCATTTCATGTTACTATTTTTGTTGCCATTTTCGGTGGTCGAGAAGTAGTCATTTGTTGTGCTTTGTGTGACCCATAATTCTTCACAGGACAAGAGGAAATAAAGACACATCAGTATGATTTCTGCTGCTTCTGTTTTTTACATTGAAACCAGCTAATTGTACAAATATGTGAGCCTGTTCAACAGTAATATAGTATGTGGTTATCTGGCTGATCTTCAAATCACACTCAAAAATTTTAAAAGCAAAGCACATTATAAAAATACCTGGAAAACAGGGAATATTATTCATAATAGTACCATCTTAAGGCAAAAGCAGTGTTGTAATATGTATTCTTCCTGTAGTTTTCCCCTAATCATTTGAAAAAGTTATATTAAACATGCTTATAGGACTTCCCTGGTGGCACAGTGATTAAGAATCCGCCTGCCAATGCAGGGGACACAGGTTCGAGACCTGGTGTGGGAAGATCCCACATGCCACGGAGCAGCTGAGCCCATGTGCCACAACTATTGAGCCTGTGCTTTAGAGCCTGCGAGCCACAACTACTGGGCCAGTGTGCTGCAACTACTGAAGCCTGTGCACCTAGAGCCCGTGCTCCACAACAAGAGAAGCCACCACAATGAGAAACCCGAGCACCGCAACAAAGGGTAGCCCCCGCTTGCTGCAACTAGAGAAACCCTGTGTGCAGCAACAAAGATCCAACACAACCAAAAATAAATGAATGAATGAATGAATGTATAAAGCAAAAACAAAACAAAACATGCTTATATTCTCTTTTTTATCCCCCCCACACAAATTGTGAGAACTTTTTCTTTTTTAAAAGTACCTATTACAGTTTTTCCAGTTATTTTTCATGAGAGCATAATCTGCTTGATATAATCTAATCCTTCTTGCCTCTCCTGATACTACTTGAAATCCTATTTTTTTTAAAAAATCTTTTCTTTTTGAAACCTTTTATTCCCTCTCCCATTGTTTTATTTAGAGAAATTTCTTGCCTACCAAAAAGTTGAAGTGATGCAGTGAACACCTGGATGCCCTCACATGGATTAACTAGTTGTTAATATTTGCCACATTTGCTTTTTGTTTCTCTGTCACTCTGTCTGTGTCTCTGTCTCTCTGTCTTTATGCTGTAACATTTGAAAGTAAGTTGCAGACATCATGACAATTCACCCTTAATTATTTCAGCACGTTTCTTTCAGTTATAAGGCAATTTAATGTTTATATAATGTCATCTAATATAGAAACCATACTCAAACATCCCTGATTTTCCCAGTAATGTTCTTTATAACCTGCTTTTTTCCCCATATGAAGGATCCCTCCAGGGATTTCCCTTTAAAGTTAATAAGTGTGCTATAGGGTAATATTTAGAGGCTAGATGAATATCCTGTTCCCAATAGCCTTTCACGCAGTGAATTTGCCTCCATTGATAATCCTTGACTGAGTCAATTATTGTACTATTTTTAAACTGTTTACATTTTGAAATATAAAACAAGCTGGAAAGTGGATAAAACATAAACTTAGAGCTTCATGAATTATTGTAAGGTGAATACCTATGTACCATCCCTGACATCAAGGAAAACATTATGGGCACCCTAGATTTCCCCCATCTGTCCCCTTTACCTATTATAGTCTCCTACTTTTCCTCCAAAGGAGTGGTTATAGGGTATACACATGGGTGGTTTTAGAACAAAACTATTTTCCAGTTTACACCTTTCTGTACCAGTGTTTGCTACTTCCATTGCCCCACAGCCTCCCTGACACTAGACATTCTAAAGTTAAATGGGAGTATGTAGTAGGTTCTTGTGGTTTTAAATACCATCATGGTTTTTTTCTTTTATGTTCATTGGCTGTTTGGGTTTCCTCTTTATCAAAATGCCTGTTCAAGGGGCTTCCCTGGTGGCGCAGTGGTTGAGAGTCCGCCTGCCGATGCAGGCGGCGCGGGTTCGTGCCCCGGTCCGGGAAGATCCCACGTGCCGCGGAGCGGCTGGGCCCGTGAGCCGTGGCCGCTGAGCCTGCGCGTCCGGAGCCTGTGCTCCACAGCAGGAGAGGCCACAACGGTGAGAGGCCCACGTACTGCAAACAAAAAAAACAAAACAAACAAACAAAAAAAAAACAAAAAAACAAAAAAACAAAAACAAAAACAAAATGCCTGTTCAAGCCTCTTGTACGTTTTTTTTTTTTTTTGTCATGCTTTTCTTATTGAGTTACAGTTCGTTATAATACATTTCTGGATATGAGGTAGTGGCACAGTTTTAGTTTTTCTATATGGATCTTCAGTTGTTGAACACTGTTATTGAAAGGACCATTCTTATTTTTGAAAATGGGCCGGGTATTAGATGATACTATGGAATTACTGTTGTCCTATTAGATGTGATGATGACATGGTGGCGATATATATTTTTCCTTGTCAACTGACAATACACACTGAAAAATATATAGGTGAAATAACATGCAGTCTGGAATTTGTTTTGTTTTGTTTTTTAAATTAATTAATTAATTATTTTGGCCGCGTTGTGTGGCTTGCCAGGGTCCTAGTTCCGCAGTCAGGGATTGAACCCCGGCCATGGCAGTGAAAGCACCGAGTCTTAACTATTGGACCACCAGGGAATTCCCCTGGGATTTGTTTTTAAAATACCTCAGGAAATAAAGTGGTATGACTTTCATTGAATAAAGATTGGCAAAATATTGTTAAATGAAGCTAGATGATGGATACATGATGTTTAGAATATGTGTATGTTTGAAATACTAAAAAGTTAAAGAAAGGGAAAACATCCTTTCTCTTCCCCCTTTCGTATTTTCACTAGTGTAAGTAACCTCCCTGTTGAGAACTTTTGTTTGTTTGTACATGCTCATGTAAAAAAATTGAAAAATAGAGACAAAATGAAGAAAAATGTTACTCATCAGCTTACCAAACAAACATAACCTCTTTATGATTTCCTTTTGGCCATTTATTTATTTATGTATTCTGGGTATCCTATTTTATTAGCATTTAAATTTCACCAAGAGTTCAAGCATATGCTAGCCATATGTTCAGACTTTTGAAATAAAGATAAAATGGACAAACAGCTTTAAGGGTGCAATGTATTTAACGCTGCACAATATATTAACTAACTAGACAATCTAAGGGGTGGTATAACTATACACTTAGGAGCACCAAGTATAGGAACAAGTCCTGGGATTGGAGGAAAAACCCGCCATTCAGGACTGAACAGATGTCCTTGATTGCTGACAGAATCTCCCCTTGACTTCAGACTTGAGACAAACCGAGCAAGTCTATCAGCATACAAAACCCACTGATTTCAGGACAAACAGTAACAGGATAGACTGGCCAGGGCCAATTCAGATTGTGGGGATAGTCTGAAGCGGGCAGGGCTGGCTGCAGGCTGGAAATGTTGCAGCTGAAGTCCAGGATCGGCAGATGAGAGCAGCCACCTTCTGAAAATCGTTGATTTCTATACAACTTCCCAAGATGCTTTTCCCAAACAGGGTGGCCTTTTATTTTATGTCAGTGTGTGTATGTCAGTGTGTGTATGTATATGTATGCATGTGCTTGTATGTGTGAGTGTGTTTCCCCATCTCAAAGGCTGAGAGATTTTAACAGTTTTTTTTGCTTTAGAAGCATTTTCAGTATTGGTCTCCAGAGGACAATTTTAGTGTATTCTAACCCCAGCCAGTTTTAGAGTGTACCTTGTATTAAGTCTTTGCTTTTTTTTTTTTTTTTTGATATTTCAATTCCAAGTATATTCTTTTTTTTTAATTGAGATATAGTTGATTTACAGTGTTGTGTTACTTTCTGCTGAACAGCCAAGTGATTCCTTTATACTCCAAGTATATTCTTTAAGTTTGACATGTTATGGTTACTTATGTTTAGGAAAATGAGTGCCATTAGTACTGAAGCTTCCTTACAGAAGATGGTACCTTGTCTTATTAAAACAGCTTCTCTGGGATTTCCATTGAAATGGGTGAGGCCAAGCAAATATGGTTGGTATTTTCAGTTGGGGCCCAGCAAAGTTAAAGTGTTTTCTCAAAGTTACCAGGCTAGTAGACTGGCTGCCAGGTGGTGCTCTTATTCCCCACACGTTTTAAGGAAGTAATTATGTATACTGAGTCTCACAGTTGTGGAAATGTGTACAACTAGGTCTGGGTCACCTACAAATTTCCCTTGAGCTAATGGTTTATTTTGTGCCTTCTCTGTGGTTTCGTCCCTGTGGTATCCTGGCAAGTTTGCAGGTTTCTAAAAGGAAGACTGAGCTGAGGAATCATCTGGATCTTGGGCTGAGAGGTTACATGTCTCAGGGCTCAAAAATAAAATAAAACGCAGTCCAAGATTTTTTTCTGACCATACCTTGGGATCATTGAGCTCTTTGTTCCTTTTTTTTTTTTTTTATGCT